CAAGTTGGTGTGAGTTCCCCTGATGGTGTGTATGAAGAATGAGATGTGTGGGGGTCATAGCTGAATGGGGTGTGTGGATGACCAGGTTCTGCTTTGGTGTGAGGACAGGGAGCTGGCTGTCAGGCTGCTGGCATACGAATACTAGAATACAAATTTTTCACTAGAGTACCACCATTGACATTAAAAACTTTAGCTTTCCATGGAAAGCTCATTCATATTACTAAGAGATGAGTCTTTGGACTTTTTGCATATAGAGAAGGAAAAGGTGTCTAACATTTTATTGAAATAGTTGTTCGATGTCTATGTCTTCAATCTCCTTTATTGAGTCCCATTTCTTACATCTGTTCTTAGTGCTAACTTTGATTTCAGAATGTCTTCAAGCTTCCATTGGGCATATGGTCCTCGACCCTTTCTTTAGACTCCTTAAACTTTATTCTATGTTTTAGTTTTCTCCACTTCTTTAATACTTTAACTCAATCGTTCCTTATTCCTTCAGAAATATATTGAAATGTCTCACTTGGTGATGCTCTTACTCTCCTTCAGCATTCTCACTGAAAATATAGATTTATTTCTGTAGGGTATAAGAAGGGTGACAGGTAGCAAATGCATGCATCCAATCCACCCTGTTGCGCTACATGTCCGCTTCTTATTGAGACCCTTATTTCCCTTGGCTTCCTTGACATCATATTCACTGCTTTGTGTTTTGTTTTTTTGAGACAGAGTCTCGCTCTGTTGCCCGGGCTGAAGTGTAGTGGTGTGATCTCGGCTCACTGCAGCCTCCTTCTCCTGGGTTCCAGTGATTCTCCTGTCTCAGCCTCCCAGGTAGCTGGGACTATAGGCACGCACCACCACACCTGGATAATTTTTGTAATTTTTCAGTAGAGACAGGGTTTCGCCATGTTGGCCAGCGTGGTCTCAAACTCCTGATCTCAGGTGATCTGCCTGCCACGGCCTCCCAAAATGCTAGGATTACAGGCATGAGCCACCGTGCCTGGCCTGTTCTACTGTTTTTCCTATTATCTTATTATCTCTCTACCTTCTCCTCATTATATTTTGTGGGATTTTCATTATTTACCCTCCTAATGTAATGTAGATTAGTCAAGGCTTGACCTTAAGCTCACTTCTCTTCTCATTTCATACTCTCTCCCCATGCTTTCTTAACCACACCAATGTCTTCATCACGATTTTCACTGTAGTGACTCATGTTCATATCTGAACACTGTTATCCAAAATATTAATTGTTTTTGTGCAGCAGAACTTTAAGAAACACTACATCCAAATTATATTACATTCTTATTAACGGTATTAGCCTTATTTTTCTTTAGGTTATATTTAATACAAAGTTTCAGTTACTGTGAAAAACACATCCAGTATAGTATACATGTCTAGAAAGTGGCTTAAAAACCTGGAAAAATATCACATTAAATGATAATTATATAGTAATAATCTGTAGATATTTATTGATTTTCCAGCTTATAGAGTTAGTCTAAGAAGAAGTAAAGAATATATGATTGTATTTGCTGGACAGAATTGCCAAAATATAAGTAGAAGAAAAAAGAACATAAAAGTAGCTTAGGAAAGATGAAGGAAAAAGTAGGAATAAAATTATCCTCATTTCATGACATAAAATTATGTCATGACATAAAGTTAAGTCATTTCATGACTCTTGAATTAAAGATTCAAGAGTTAAAAGGACAGTAGAAATTTAAGTATATTATTAAAGTTTAAAAGATAAGCAACAGTAAACTTAAAAATGCATATTAAACTAGAGGAAGGAAGAAACTTATGCATACTTATCAAATGAAGGAATAAACAGTTATTGTTTAAGCTTGATTAACCAAAATGCATAGATATTTTCTAGCATTTTATGAGAACGTTATGGAACAACAACCGCATAAAAGGGAAGTTAGAAGTTTGGCTCTCCAGAGTGAGATTTAATGTCAGGGAGAGGTGAGTAGGATTTTCTGGGGGGTTTTTTGTTTTGTTTTTCGATGTCACTACATTCATTCAATATGGATGTGTTACCTTGACTTAAAACAAATGGACAAACAAAAACCAAGAAAGCAATAGCCTTAGTTAAGTTATAGAAAAAAAATGTAAATTTTGTAGCTTCTCTGGTAAAAAATAAGACTGTTACTGAATGATGTAATAGAAATTTAGCAGATGCTTACCACCTGTTTTTTTGTTAAATGTTAACCTTAAAATAAGTTTTATTTTATTGATTTATACTTGCTTTATTGAGCCTTCTATATAGTACTTCTCAAATAATGACTTTTTGAAAATACAGACATTTGTAAAAGAAAAAAGCGTCAACAATGTCAACTGCTGCAGTCACTTCAATTAATATAATGACCAAAACAGTATTGGTTTACTGACATAGCATTTTGTTATATAAGAAGCAATGACTTAGAGAGTAATTTTCTAAAAGGCCAGAGGGAATGATTCTCAATAGCACAGGAAGGAGGAATTGGTTGTAATAGGAGGATGGAGAGTATACTATCTCTATTGAAATAGGATGGGAGATAACAATGCAGATGGAGATGCAGTTATATTTAAATTTTATTAGTAGAAAGATGATTTAATAAGGTACATAGTTTTTGTGAAGCAGCGGTCGTGAGGCAATCCAGTCTAAGGAAAGCAGAGAAGTTTCCAAAAATCTGGGGGGGGGGCGGAGGGGAGTAGCAAATTAAGCCATCCACAGAAACTCGGTGGGATTGAATGGCAATGTTGATAGCCCACTTGAAACTCATGATCATGAAACCCTGGTGGGTGTAAACTTTTCAGATAGCTTTCAGAATCTCAAGGCAATCACAGAGTAGAGTATAATTGAGCTCATTGGAGTCGGGGTTTTGCCAAACAAGGGCAACAGAAGACACAGAAACAAAGTGATTTAAATATCAGCAAATGATTATTCCTGAAATGTTTGCCCATGGAAGGTAGAAAGTAAAGTTAAGTGATATATCTGGGCCATGAAACAAAAGTGCAAGACTCTTCCACATGGACATTGACTTACACATGTGCTACTCTCCCTTGTGATGGGCAGGCAATGTATAGAAAGAGGTCTCTGGTGTGAAAAGAAGGTAGAAGAGCCTCCTCAAGCTCAGGTACTATTCAAATATAAAGTATTATTATACAGATAGTGAAAATGGAATTAATTGTTAGCCAAAAAAAGTTACACTTTTAAGATAAGAATGCATTCATTTCTTAAGAAATCAGGGAGAAAAGGGCTCAGAAGTTTTGGAGAAATGGCTTACAGAAAATTAATTCAAGACTTTTAATTAGATAAACTGTAAAACTGCATTTCTTTTTTATTTTCAATCTACAGACCCTCTTACATAATCTTGTAGTTGGCATAATATATACACATTATTCCACAGTGATGTAATACACAATGATGACCTTTAAATCTCTTTCGGTAGCCCAGCTCTCTCTTACGGGTATTAGGAACAGATATGTGATTACCTATTGCCAATTTCCTCATGGATTTCCCATGTACCCTGTATCTCATATTCAAAACTGAATTCCTCATTTTTATCTGCTTCTGCATTTCTTCAGCTGTGTTCTTTTCTGGTGAAGAGAATCATCGCCCATTCAATGAACTATGCTAAAGCCTTGAAATTGCTGTATATGCTAGCTGCCTCCTACTCCAAAGCCTGTAATTCATTAATTATCAAATGCTGGTAATCCTACCTTCTTAATATCCCAATTATGTTTCCTGTCCTCCAGTGCTACCATCACTGCTTTTGCTCAGTCATTTATCACCTCTTGGCTGATTAGTTTTAGTAGCCCGTGAATTGGTTTCCAAGTCACCATTTTTTTTCTACCTGGTTCTCCATGCCATTACTTAACTGTGAGGCCTTTACCAATTTTCATCACTTCCTTAATACTGGCTTTCACCTCTTTAAAATGAATATTACATTTTTACCCTTTACCTGATAGAGTTGTTACTATTATATATATATGTGTGTGTGTGTGTGTGTATATATATATATATATATAAAATGCTGTGTATCTCTATGTATGTATAATACATACTTCATAATTCATGAAGTTTCATAGACTGTGTTGTTTACATACACATATTTAAATGTTTATATACTTATATATAAACATATTTATACACACACACACACACATATAAACAACAAAGTGTAAAATAAACTAAGTGGTAAGCAAAAATCTTGTGATATAGCTCTGGTCATACATTCCAGCAGCATATATTCTAAAAACAAATATATGAAAAAAACAGCACTTAAATAGATTATTTTTTAAGCTTCACAATCAATCAGGTTTCTCAAGCTTACTTCTTAATAACAGCTTCGCAGATTTTTTTTTTACTGCATGACAGAGCAAACTGCACATCATATATCAATGATAATATAATGCTTGACTTCTTTAATGCAATGCTTAACTGTAAATGTCTGTAAATACAAATGAGGTGTTTAAATTTGAAGATACTTTGGATAGATGGCAATACCTATAATTATAGAGTCATCACTTCTGCCTGATTTGCACTTAAAAGTTAAAGTTCCAATTGCTCCTATTATTAGAAAAGTAATAATAACAATTATAACTATACCATGAAGTATTAAAACCTGAGCATTCAATTTGAAGGCAGCTAAAATAAAAATGTAATGAAAAGTGGATCCATAAAATGCTTTCAATTCATACACATATGCTATACAGAGGCACTCAAGAGCAAAGGAAAGAACTGTGGAGTCTTTATTATGGTTCTTTTTTTCAGATTCTTTCTCGCTTTCTGGCATTAGAGTAGCATTATGGTGAGTATTTCTCATCCATGGATCATCACTTTCTTATGTCAAAATTTTTATTCTAAGGTATATATAAACATGGCCTAAAAATGTAGTTTCTAAATATGGCAAATGTCTTTTTATTTTATTTGTAAGTTCCAGTTCTTAAAAAAAAAAACACACACATTAATACATCTTTATTTTCCAAATTAGAGTTGGCTGACCTTTTTAATGGGCCAAGCAACTTACCATCATTACGTAGAGTGAGTGGCGTTGGAGGACTAAGGACTCTAGCATTCGTCACTGTGTTTTTCACCAGACAAATATAGCTGCCAACATCTGATGTTTGGACTTTAGAAATATAAAGGTTGCCTGTCTCCTGGGAAATGAACCGCCGGCTGTCTTCCGCCACAAAGGAAGGGAACTCATTAAATACCCAGCTATAGATGATCTCTGAAAATACACAAAATTTGGTCAATGAAAGACTTTGATTTTTTCATTAACAGAAAAAGTTCAAACAACAAAGCCTGAGATATATTGCAAGGTCACACATATTTGATCCATGGAGCTATATAATTTAGTATTTTATATTCAAAGGATTATTGTTAATGACTACGGTGAGATCTGAAATATTTCTTAGGATGTCTGAACTTGACTCATTTATTTATTCTTTCAATTCCAATGTGTATTGAACATGTTTTAGGTACTCAGAACTATGATAACCTGAAAATAGAAAGAAAAGAGACAATTCCCCATTCTCAAAGATCAATTTAATGAAGAAAATTTACCCAAACCTATGAAACAATGTAGAATAAGAAAATGGAGATATAGACCTTATTGTAAAGAAGGTATGAGATGGGGCACTTAAGCAATAAAACTTATCAAAGAAAGGCAAACTACATGTCTTCTGTCCAAATTTTCTCCTCTACACACATCCCATTTTGTAACTTAGTTTAATTTCTAAATTAAGCTTAAGTTCACTGGGACTTTCAGAGACAGTATCATTAAGTTCTGACTCTACTACTTAGTGATGGTCTAAATTGAGCCAGTATTTAACTAACTTTTTGAGGTTCATTTTTAAAATTCATATAGTTAGAATAATATTACGTACTTCATAAGCTTCAAACAAGACAATGCACCTAAGAGCTTAATGAATAATATGCATTCATAAAACATGAAAAGTAACATTTCTGTTATCATCCCACCCTAACCAAAAATTACCACGTTAGGAGCTCCTTCTACGTGCACCATTTAAATACAAGAAAAACAGTAAAGAGGATATAAAACAAGTCTGAAGGAGTAGTGGATACTTAAATATTTTCAGGTCTGTTTTCAACAGAAGAATTCCAATGATGAGATGAACATTGATTCTAAGCAAGATATTGCTAATATTTATTATTAAAAAAATTATATAGGCTGGGTGCCGTGGCTCACGCCTGTAATCCCAGCACTTTGGGAGGCCGAGGTGGGCAGATCACGAGGTCAGGAAATTGAGATTATCCTAGTTAACAAGGTGAAACCCTGTCTCTACTAAAAATACAAAAAAATTAGCTGGGTGTTGTGGTGGGCACCTGTAGTCCCAGCCACTCAGGAGGCTGAGTCAGGAGAATGGCATGAACTCGAGAGGTGGAGCTTGCAGTGAGCTGAGATCATACCACTGCACTTCAGCCAGGGTGACAGAGTGAGATACCAACTCAAAAAATAAATAAATAAATAAATAAATAAATAAATAAATAAATAAAATTATATGTTATAGTTCTAGCAGAAGCCTGAGAATTTTGAAATATTATATTGTATTAATGCATAATTACAATATACAGATACAAAATCAAATATTTTAACAATTAGTGTATAAAGAAAAGCATTTTTTACAGTTACCGACACCCAGTTGGCAGCCTTCAGTACATTTAATATTTTATTAACAATTTATTTAAAATATCCACATTACTTTACTCGAAGGAACTCCCTAAAGTATAACTGAAATACTTTCACTTGTTCTCATAGAGCTCAACTAGACTCTAAATTCAAGGCTTTCTCACATTTAACAATGTGAATTCCTTTAATTGCTATAATGAAAGTGTTACTTGTCATTCACACCTAATTCATATATTTTAGTATGTATTTATTTTATATTACATTTTACTAAAATCTTTTTTATTATTTTACTAAAATCTAATATAAAATAAGGGTTTTCTTAGTTTTTGGTTTATATTACTTAAAGTTTCAGAAAAATGAAAGCAACTAACAACTACAGGTAATCATTCATTAAGTTCAAAAATACTGTTTCTGTTATACTGATATTTGTTGAATCAATGTTTAGTAATTTTAGACTAGGAGAAAAATATTTACACAAAATTGACATTTTCTCAGATTTTACAGACGGGTAAGTATTTGGAGACTCAAAAATGCTTATTTAGTTCTTCAAATAAGTTTTCAGTTTCATGTAGTGAAGCATTTCATAATTCCAAAAAGTATAAAAAGTAGAAATACTACACAATAGAAGAGCTGACAACCTGAGTTTGCAGTGGATTATCTGCCAGTGCCAAAAATGAAAATATTGAACTGAGCTAAACACCTTTTTACATTCCTCTTTACTTTCTCCTATAAGGTTTTCCATTATCTATTCACATTTATTTAATACTGTCTTCAAAGTAATCATAAAAAGTCTATAATTAATTTTAGTATTATATTGTAATCTGAGAACTATAAAATATTTCAGGGAAATAGTAAAGTATAGTTGGCTCTGGTGCCACACTCTTTAGCTTTATATGTCACTTTCTTCTATACCAACTGTGCCTGGCCCTTAAAAATAATTGAATGCATGCTTATCTATTAAGTGGTAAAAATTTAGTAGTAGTGGCATTCATTTCAGAAGATACTGATATTAGGTGGTCAACTATGATTTTCCCATTTTTTAAGGCTCTTTTTTCTAATGGTATGGTAATCTAAAGCAACTAAAATGTTTTAGAAGTTCTTGGTGTGATTCTTCAGTGAGTAATCCCTATATCAGCAGACAATGACCACTTGGAGATATCCTGTGCATCTACGTTATGAAAGTCTTCCTCGAGAATGCTTTTGCACAAATCCTACTTGAGATCAATTTTTCCCCCATTTTTCTATGTAGTTTGCTTTATTATTATACCTTAAGTTCTGGGAAACATGTACAGAACATTCAGGTGTGTTACATAGGTATACAAAATGGTGTTGGGAAAACTGGCTAGTCACATGCAGAAAGCTCAAACTGGACCCCTTCCTTACACCTTATTAAAACATTAACTCAATATGGATTAAAGACGTAAATGTAAGACCTAAAGCCATAAAAACCCCTAGAAGAAAACCTAGGCAGTATCATCCAGGACATAAGCATGGGCAAAGACTTCATGACTCAAACACCAAAAGCAATTGCAACAGAAGGATCAATGTTTATGCTAAATTTCAATCAGGTATTTTTGATACTATATGGTAATATACATTTGGGACACAAATCCATGTGCGGCATAGGCTTTTGGTTTCTCATTGGAGAATTTTTGTCTTCTACTCTGAACCAACAAATCATTCCATCTGGGGTCTGACTTGGTCAGACATTGTTATTCAACTTCCATTCTCAAGCAGACCCAAGGACTTGTCCTTTGCCCTGGCATGATCATTCATCCTTTAACTTTTAGACTTTAGGGTCTACTTCTGTAACATGTGAAAAATGTACCTTGCTTCCAAGATCTCCTCAGGGTTAACATCACAGAGTATGCTTTGGATTTCAGTTCTTATTTGTTTCTGCTACTTGGGGATTTCCTTTTCTTTCTTGTGAGATCAGCTACATATTGAAATTATCTTTGCTTTATTTCAGTCATCATTTCTAAATTTTGGTAGTGAGAACATTTCCAGGTCAGCTGTCTCCTGCCCTAATTGAATGTCCAGATTTTATGGATTCAAGTATTTCAGACTTTCTATGCAACTGCTGCAATTGATTCAGTGTCAATAAACACAGGATCTTCTCTTTGCTCCCCTGACAAATAAGATGATTATTTAAGTGATATATTTCCACAACTACAGAGTGCATAAAAACAGGAGTACACATGTGGGCAATGATGCTCATTTCTCTTAACAGAAGTGCTATTAACAAAAACAACAAAAAAAGTTTGAAAAAGGGGAATGAAACTGCATATTGGACCCTCTGAAGTCTTTGAAAACAATTTCAGTGAGTAATCACATGTGATTCAACATTCTTTAATATAACTACATGTTGGGAAATAACCATTCTTCTTTCTAATAATGTGTGTACACATCAGAGGCTTTGGGCCAAAGAATTCGGAGAGAACACAATGGATATAGCATCTGAGTTGTTCAAAGACCCAATTAATAATGCAACTCTCCCCGGGAGTCTATTTTCTTTATCCCTATAAGTACAGAAAGAAAAAGAACTTAAAAATCAGAAGCTTCCCTATTTCTATAAAATGCTCAACTTTATGGTAAGATTCTCGGTTAACAGGCCTTATTTACCAAAATCCCTAATTGTTTTTGTTATTTCTATAATATGAGATTTAATGTTTTATCTGCCAAAAATCATAACTTGTTCTTCATTATTAAAATGTAACATTTGTTCAGGCACAGCAGCCCATGCCTATAATCCCCACTCTATGGGAGGCCGAGGTGAGAGGATAGCTTGAGGCCAGGAGTTCAAAGTTGCCATAAGCTGTGACTGTGCCGCTGTGCTCCAGCCTGGATGATAGAGTTAGACCCCAAATCAAAAAAATACAAAATATGTAACTTTTAGTTTATCTTTTAAATAGTTCAAGTTTTTCATTTATTTATTTTCTGTATCTTGTATTAATTTTTACTCATGCTGCCTGGTAGAGTATATGTCAGGAGCATTTTAATATTTACAAATTGTCTTTTAATAATATTTATTTTCATAATTCCATCATCCATTATGACTCATCTCCTCTCTTTCATGGTGACTTAATTGAAGTGAAGATAATTAAATAGGATAACTTAGTACGTTCCCAGAGAAAAATAGGGTTTTAAAAATTGTCACTACAATTATTTTCTTTTTTGAAAGTTTGTACCCAATCCTACCGCTTTGGATTCTGAATTAATGACATTATGATAGAAACTGTAGAGAACTGTCCACTTAATTATTCATTACTACTGAGCATAAGGGACAACCTGAAATTGGTGGGAAATATATTTTTCCATTGCTGATGTGTACCTTAATGGAAACAGAAAATGTCACTATTAGCCATGTCAATTACTCTTGGCAGAGCAGAGACTGAATCTACCTTCTTCATCATTATATTTTTAAAACTCAACAGGATACTTGGTGTGTAGTTGCTCCATAAATATTTGGTGAATAAATGCATAGTTGAGATAGAAATATATCTATAATCTATTTATATAAAACTCTCTAAATTTCAAGAACAAGAGCGGATTTATTTTCACATATTAAACTTCATTAC